AAGTTTATAAAAAAAATTTTTTATATATTTTAATAACCAGATGAGTTTTTAAAAAAAATTTTTAAAAATTTTATAAAATTTATATATAAAACGTTAAAAAAAAAGCTAGTTAGCTGGCTGGGTCTGAACAAAAATTTTATGTTATAAAAACTAAGATATTAAATTTGTGTAGCCTTAGTTTAAAACTTATTAATATATAAAGTTTTAAAAATTAGATATAAAATTTTATTATTAAAATTTTTTTATATTTTTTGAAAATTAACTAATTAAAATTAACTTTTTGTATAACTAAGAATAAACATAAAATTTCTAAAAAAAATTAATTAAAAAATAAAAAAAATTATTAATAATAATTTATTTACTATATAATAATCTATTATATATCTAAATTATATAAAATAATTTATATACATTTTACTTAAAACTTCTCAAATTTAAATTAAATTAAATATTAAGTTAATTTGAATTTAATTACATTAAATATACTCTTGATTGGATTTGATTTGATCAAATATTTAATTTAAATATTTGAATTTAATTAATTTAAAAAAAAATTTAAAAATTTTAATCAATAAAAAAATATTTAATTTATAAAAATTTTATTATATTAATTAATCTTAAGCTTTTAAATAAAAATATTTTTCTAAAATGTAATAACTTAATAAAGTAAATAAGTTGTTAATCTTTTAAATAATAGGTTAAATATTCAAAATTCATTAATAGCAAACATTTAGATAATTATCTATATAATATTATATTATAGCAACTGTTTCTAATAATTAAATTAAATATTTGTGATAATTGTTATACCAATATAACTAATAGGTCATGAGGTATCTATGTAATTAGTTATACAGAGAAATGCAAATTAGTATTGAATGATATAACTCTAAATAAGTTATTGTAACTGTATAAATCTGTAAAAATTAAAAAACAAAAAATTAATTTAAGAAAATTTAAGCAGAAAGATAATATAGATTTTTGATAATATTACTATAAAGATTAATTTTAAGAAACAGATTTTAATATAAAAAAGTCAGATAAGTAAGTATCTTTAAATAGAAGGTTTACCAATCAAACTGTCAAAATATATTAAAGAAAAAGAATATCAGACTAATTTAATATATTAATAGACTAATTATAATCTTATCAAACTATTTAGATTAAAAATCTGATAATTATACAAAATATACTAAAGTAATTTGAATATACTGTAAAGTAGTACTGAGATTCAAATAAACTCTATAAAGATATAATAGTTTAATAATTAGTCTTAACTACAAGTGTTGATTCTACTATAGTAACACTAAATCAATTATAAAATAAATACAAAAAATTCTAGAAGATTTATCTTAAAAATAAAATAATTCTAAGATTAAAATAATAATCTAAATATAATTTAGTAATATTAATACAGGTTGCAAGTTCAAAAGATTTAAAATAAAATACCTAAACAGAAGTATTATATATAACAATTAGTAGAAAACCTTTAAATGAATACCTTAAATAGGTAATATAGAAAAGTTATATGTATATCTAATTGTACACTCTTTTTGTAATAATTTATAAAATTATATTACTATAAAAATCATTAATAAAAATCAAAAGACTAAAAAGATTACCTTAAAAATAACAATAATAAAATAAAATTTTTTTTCTAAACAAAATACACCTAATTTCATAGAACAAAAAAATCAATTGTTTTAATAATATTTTGAATAAATAATTTACAATTTTGAATATTTAATTATAAATTTTTAAATCAAATCAAATCAAATTTGATTATATTTGAATTTGATTTGATTTGAAAATTCCAGATTTGAATTTAATTTGAACTCAAATATTTAATCAAATCAAATTAATCAAATCAAATTGTAAAACCCTACCTCTACTTTTAAGGTTGGTTTAAAATTATCATGATTTCTACTAAAAAGATTCTTACAGAGCTTAGTTAAAATTGAGTTAGTTTACGTCAAATTCAAGTTAGAATTAGTTGCATTAGAATTATGACGGTAAAAATTCTATTACCAAATTTTCTTATACCTTTGATTAGTTCTCACATATTCAAGTACCTATATTATTGATTTTTCAATACTCTCAATAGTGAATTATGAGAAAATTAGTAATAGTAACCCTGCAGAGAGTGCACTTACGAAGGTTTTATTGATATTTTTTCTTGTTAGCAATTACATCACAATGATATAATTCATACAAAATGCAAAAATCTTAACTTTTTCTAAAAATGAATAATTGAAAATCATTACCCTTGCTAAAAATGGATTTTACGAAAATCAGCATAAACCATCACTCTCACACATTCATGTGATCGTATTGGTATACACATTTTATTAATGGTGTCAGTGTTATTGTGGTATTGAAACTTAATGTACGCTTGTGTTCATATTTTTATGGATATTATAATTATTATGTTTAAATCCTTTAGTAAGAAATAATTTTGTTTTATCATAAGCCGTTCAATGAGTGCGATCCTACGTAATAGTTGGTCAGCCTAGTGGAGTAATAATGGTTGCATGTTATTACATATACAAAATACAGGTAATAAATGCCAATGTTCGAATCATTTTTGGCCTTTGATTTTAGTCAATAAACTTCTTTCTGATTAATCAACAAAACTGAATTTCGTTGAATAAAGTAATCGCAATATTTTTTGTAAAGTATTATTAAGATAAAATTAGAAACCATGAATGCTTTTTGTATGCATTGTACATTGGGGATACATTTAAATGATTCATGTAGTGAAATTGTACGAAGGGTGCGAATTTTTGATTTTTGGGGCGGTTTCTTGATTGTGTTACCCAACACCATAGAGTTCCAATCCGGATAAACTCGTCATCCATTTATTCGTATCTGAATTTATCCGGATATCAATAGTAAAACGGATATCCGAATAAATTTACCAATGGATAAATGGATAAACGGATAATGGATAGGACTGACTGGCCAATTAAGCCGAGAAATTTATTTACGTGTATCTAATTGCACAAGTTAAATCGACGTTGATTAACTTTTTATTTTATATAGGCATTCTGTTCAATGCTAAAGTATAATCATGTATTTTAGTTTTTATGTTTTCGTGTTTCCATAAACAATATTTTTACATCTATATTTACACCGACTGGAAGTTATTTTTATTCCTCAGTCCTTGTTGATAGGAAACTCTATTTTAGTTGTGGAATAGAGTCTACTTCTATCAATTCGAATAAATTCTTTTATTTGGATGTTTCTAGACCATTTAATATAACTGATGATGTCTCAATACCATGAGTTGACCTTACTTCCACCAACAGTCCTTCGAAATATCAAGATACAGGCTGTATTGGTGGAAAAATAATAATCAGATTTTGTTTTAGGTGATCTTCCTTATAATCAGTCATTTGTTATTCAATTTGATTCAAACAACAATGGACTAATATCACATCTACTGGAAATGCACCAACAAATAATTTTAATAATGGATTGATTGCCATTTTTAGTGGTTATAATTCTAGTTCTACTATTGCCAATGATCTTTGGATACTTAACACATTAACATTATCATGAAGCTTAAGCAATGCCTCTATCTAGGTTTTGTTATTGCGCAATAACTTTACCTAATGGTAATATTTTATATATTGGTGGAAGTAGTTCTCAATGAATAACGTAAGTTTTCATATTTGTGTAATGTGCTTTTTTTAACCTTTGCTTATTTCCATGGTTCATTGTTCTTTTGTAGTTACCATTATATAATACGGAATCTGATGCGTGGACAAATATGGTACGTGATTATTAAATACAATTCTTTACTTTACAGTATTAATTAATAATATGTTTTAGAGTATATCCGGTCCGACTCCTCCTGTTCGTAGATATTTTCTCTGCAGTGTTAAGTATGTCGTTTAACTATATAAATAGACATTCCTTCTATAATATTAATCGTTTAAACGAAAGCCCCGATAGACGTATTATAATTTTTGGTGGAGTGAAAAATACCCGGATTTGTCGAAATCCGATTACTGACCTAATTCTTATGGGCATACTGCGACATTAGTGGGCAATGATATGATTATTGCTTTTGGTAAATTTTTATAAAATATATTATTTTATGTATAACTCTTTTAAAACTTCATTTGCCCAGCAGGTATGTTTATAAATGACTTCTTCATCAAGAATATTTATTCTAAATGTAAACAGAAAAGATTCCTACAAATGAGTTACTGAATTTACTCCAAATACTGCAATTTCAAATAATGCGAATCCAGCAAGTTCATCTGATCCTTCAATCTAATTGACTAAAAATTATGTTCTAAAAAATTTTTGATGAATAAGCTACCAACAATGCATGACTAATAGGGTTCCGCATGGGCCGGGCTGGGCTGGATATTTCGAAGTCCAGAACCAACCATATTTAATTGGATAAACCCAAGCCCAGCCCATGACCACATGGTACAATCCATGGATCCAAAGAGCACAAACTGTAAACTGTTAATTTCTAAATTAAGCTCAGGTTCGTAATTTTGACATCATATGATAAGGAAAATAATGATGAGATCTATGATTTTGGCCAATCAAATTAATAATGGACTATCCATGGATCTTTGGATCTGGACTCAATTATCACATGGTCAAAATTCTTGGACTAAGCCCGTCCAATCCATGGATGCTCCATGGATAGTCCAGCCCATGCAGAGCCCTAATGACAAATAGCTATCATATATTAGTAAATGTGATTTTTGTTCAACCATAATGTTGTACATATTGAAACAATAAACCTTTCTCTTGAAGCTTCGTGTTTATTTTTGACATAAAGTATAAAATAGTAATTGAACACTTTGTTATAGGACCTTTTATATAGAAAAAAAGATATGATCTTTTATAATCTTTTTTTCCAAGAGGTAATGTAAACTTTTTACAAAATGTCATAATGAGTCAAGATAATAATTTCACATAAGTTTTTTTAGTATATACAATGAATGCATTGTATTGCAATTTTAAATACTCGATTATACAATAATTCCCTCAGCAAATCTTCGATGAAATGGCATATAATTCCCCTCAGTGTTGTGTTTTTTATTAGCATTGTGATCGTCAATGATGGCAAAAGATATATGTCGATAAGTTCGTGGTAAATTCTCTCCACCACCAGCATACTCTGTCGAGATTACCTCATAAAATAATTGTGCGATAACATCCGGAGGGTTTCGATATGCGCCTATAAAATATTTGATATTTGCATAAACATTGTTGTAACAATTAAATGTAAACATGATTTTGAACAATTCAACTTAACCACATCCAAATGCGCTTAATATTATACAATCATGACCTTTGGATAATAATTTCGATAGATATTATATGATATCATGGGTAAACAAGAGAATTATAAGTCAGATATAAACAATGGAAGCATTCTGTCACGACAATATTTCAGATAACGCACCATTTTCTAAGCCTATGTTCAAAATGGCTTGGATTTTTTTACGAGCTTTGGCTTTCGCTTCAGGATATAACGTGTGTCCACCAGAAGAATCTGAAATAATTTTTGGGCGACGCAAAGCGGATACAGCCTAATATAATTTATCAAATATTTTTAATTATTAACGTGATTAAAGCTGTTACCTAAAATTGCATTTTCATACCACAAAAGACATTGTTTCAGGAACTTCCAAGAATGAATATTCATCTGCTTCACTAGATCTTATGACTGTGGCGTTAGGACAATAAATTCCACCAAATTCAGGAATAGGATACCATTCATATTTTTTACGTTCATGATATTCAAAAAGATTTGTACGACGAAAAAGATTTTCTTCCTGAGCTCCTGCACCAGACTTGTATCCTTATTTTAATGAATAAATTAGATCTCGATATATATTATGATAAATTTTAAATTAATACAAAATATTTACATACCACCTCCAACATTTGTGCTTGATGCCATGTTCAGTACTATAGGGTTGAAACCGTGCCTTTTTAGTTTTAATGCCTCAAGAAGACAGTCCATATTTACTACTTCAGTAGTGGGTGTTTCTTGCTTTTCAGCCACAACTTCCCGAGCCAAGATAGAAGCATTTTTGTAAAATTTTGCTTTCTTAGTTTCTGCCGCTATTTTTGGTCCGTCAAGCGCAACATATTTTTTAGTTTCTGCATGAGTATAACCGCGATCTTTAAAAGCTTTAATAGTTTCCTTTTGAACTGCTACACGAAACTCACGCCCTTTAGAATAAACCATTTTTTATACCAATACACTTACCACGCGAAAAATTATAAGAAACTGTGATTAAATACAAAACCCCAAATTTTCAACTACGCACAATTGGACTGTTACCACGATTATCATTTTATGTAGGACAAGTAATACAAGTAAGTGCGCATGATACTGCGGTTGCGCCGCACGCGACAGAACCTCGATTTGATTGGCATCTAAAAAAATTTCGCAGATCACACGAAATGGAGAAACAAATCAAATTTCGGGATTAGGTGTAACTAAAAATTTTGCCCATGAAACTGTCTTCTGCGTACTAATAAAAAGCTTTCTTTGTGAAATTTTGGTATAATTGCAATTCCCTAACCCAATCTACTTAACTTTAAACTAATCGCGACACCTTTTTTTTTTTTAATGAAAAATTTTTATTGGTTTTAAATAAGAGAATTTAACTAATTTTAATATTTTTTTATATAAATAAATTATTTTTTAAAGATTAGAGTATGAAGCTAGCATATAGTTTATTTATATGCAAAATTAGATGCTAAAAATAATATAAAACTAGTTCTTGTAATAAAATTTGGCTGAAATCTTTTCAAATTACTGAAAAAAATTAGGTGATTTCAGAACCGATTACTTATAACTCTGGTCAAATTTGCAAATCATTTGACCAAGTTTGGGGCCAGGTGCGTTTGGTATAAATTTGTAAATGATCTATATTCTGCATAATTACTTTCTTGATATCTATATAAACTATAAACCCAAATTGCATCAAAAAAGTAACTCTAACACACCTTACTTTAATCATCCCCGAATTTGCCCAAATGATCTGCAAATTTAACCAGAGTTTATAAGTATCGAAATTATATTTGTTGGTTTAACAATAATTATAAAACATAAGAAAATCTTCTTAGTCACATTAAATTTTGGATGTTTGTTTTGTTTGTTAGCAGGTTAACGTATTCTAATTCATCAGGTGGCTATGTATCTGATGACTAGGCTCCAATTGATATGCTTCCATCTGCTGTTCTAGAAGACTAGCGAATTATTATGGGGAAGCCACGATTAGGGGTGTGAATCGATTCTATCATAATTGTTTTAATTGTTATAGCGGTTTGCAAAAAGATGTGACCCCACGATTTTCGTGATAACGATAGTGGAGAATTTCGAAAATTCTGATTTTCTATCAATCATATATTCGATCAGTGATATCTGTATGTATTTGGAAATCTGTATAATTCTCTTAGAATCGAAAAATCATCTAATTTTCCGCGATTTTACATTACACGATGATCTGCAGAGGTCACACCTTTTTGCAAAGCGCAATAATCGAGTTAGATCGATTCATAATGTTATGTGGGAATCGGAGATTCTGTCAATTTTATGAATTTTATCAAACAGGAGGAAACGTTGATGTTACACAATTGATTTTACACACGGTGTGAAACACATAAAAAAATTATTTTACAATACTTGATCAGTCCGCTAGTAGATGTTATGATTATAATCCAACAACATTTTTATTATAATAAAAATGTTGTTGGATTATAATCATAACATTTACTAGCGGACTGATCAAGTATTGTAAAATAATTTTTTTATGTGTTTCACACCGTGTGTAAAATCAATTGTGTAACATCAACGTTTCCTCCTGTTAATTTTATCGATTAATCATAGCCGATCGAAAATATAAATCAATAGACAATCAAAATCTCCCGATCATCACAAAAATTACGTTGCCACATCTCTTTGCAAAGTGCTATAATCGTTGCTATAATCGTTTCTATGAACAATTAAATAAATATTTGGAATCGATCCTAGATTTATAATCGATTCTAAAGTATATAATCGGTTATATTATCGATTTAGAAGTTCTCTGCTACATAAGAAAATATAATATCTGTGTTTGTACTGTTATTGAAACTTTATAGTTTGTACTTACTATTACTTGAATTTTGTATAAATTATCAACTGAAAAGAAATACAAATTATATAAATGTTCAATACAAATATAAACTGGGATGATTAAATATAGTTTGTATAATTCTTGTTTTTAATTACAAGAGATTTATATTTAAAGTTTTTGTTACAATGATTTTTCTCACAATTTGTTTTTATGTTAAATTTTTTTAAATCAAAACGTATTCATAATAGCACAAATTATTTATATAACAAAATAACTTATAGCATTAAACAGTCAAAACTGAATCGGGCAAATCGATACGAGAAATAACTGTACTAAATAACTTACAGCATTAAATAATATAAAACAATCAAAACTGAATCTGGAAAGTCGATACGAGAAATAAATGTCCTAAAATAACTTACAGCAATAAATAATATAAAGCAATCAATTTTGAACTATTCGATTGATTTGTAAAAATCGTTTCATCACGATCGATTGATCCTGTGATAAAGAATTCGCAATTCTATTTGATACACAACGAGGTCACCTGGTATAGCAATGCAAGATGTACAGGCCAAATGTAAACAACTTAGCGTTGATAAGATGTTACTTGCAGATTCTGCAAATTTTAGCCATAAATGAGTAGCAGAACTCTAATAGTACTAGCTTACACACTTAATGCACGACTTGTAAATTACTATCGCTATCTGATTTAAAAAAAATAAAAATAATAAAAAAGATAAATAAAAATAAAAGTATAAACATATAAGAGACAAAATATTCTATACTATAAAAAAAATGATCCTATTGATAGTATATTTCTTATTAGCGTGTCTCGTATGGTATTATTTCTTTAGATCAAATCCTCCGCGTGGTCTTAAAAAGCTTCCTTCTCCACCTGGTCATAGACTTTATACTGGTATATGCAGTCTATTTGACATGAATATCGAGTCATTATCAATATTTTTTACTATTAAAATTTATTTATTTATTTATTTTAGGACATTTTTATCAAACTAGATCTGACCCGCATAAAAGGCAAGAAAATGAGTTTGCAATGTCAACCAATAATTGAATAATTAAATAATTTTTATTTTGAATAGATTTACAGAATGGGCGAAAAGTTTGGGTGATATTTATAGCATACATATGGGTCAACAGTATTGGATTATATTAACCAGTGATAAAATTGCTGCTGAGCTTTTGCAAAAGCGTAAGTTAATTTTTTAAAAAATGATTTGTATAGTACGATAATCAATAATTTCAGTTCTGAATAGGTGGTGGAAAGTATTCATCTCGTCCGCCAAATTATTACTTTTACCAAGTAATGTCAAGAAGTAAAGGTTACATTGGTAGTTCATATAATGAGAGATATAGAAAGCTTACACCTATCAGTATGTAATTGAACTATTTTAAAGTTTATCCCTTCGCTTTTTTTTAATTTAATTTAATTCTGCCTTTAATGCATAGTGCATGGGATTCTGGGTCAGCGAAGTGTAAAAGAAAGATCTGATTTAGTCGACATGGAATCCCGTATGCTTATGCAAAACCTTTATAAAGCCTCAATGAATACGAAAGATGGGTTTTATCCTAAAAAATATATTCAACTTGCAGCCCTGAATATTATTTCCCTTATATGTGTAGCAAGACGTATAGACAGTATAGAAGATCCATCATATCAATATTTTGAAAATTTTTTGAAAAGTCATTTAGAATTTGTTAAAGTAACAAATCGATTAGGTGACTTTTTTCCAATCTTGAGATGGTTTTCTGGCAGTAAATTCTATAATAGAGTAATTGAACAACGAAATATTCTGGAATCCTTTTATGGAAATTTTGTTAAAGAAGTTAAGGATGATAAAGAAAAGAAGCCTTGTGCTATTAGAGATTTACTCCGTAAAGTAGACGAAGGTGTACTAGATGAACATGATGTTATTCATCTAACTGATAATATATTTTCAGCTGGAACAGTAAGTAGTCTAGTGACCTTTTTTTTTTTTAATGCATAAACTTTAAATTAACTAATATTTAAAATTTAGGATACAATTTCTGCAAGTTTAACTTGGATCGTAGCCGCTTTAGCTAATAATCCAGAAGTTCAATCTAAAGCTCATCAAGAACTTGATCGAGTAATTGGTCAGTCTCGTCTGCCAAATGCTTCTGATGAACCAAATATCCCTTATATATGTGCTATAATTAAAGAAGGTCAAAGATATTGTGGGCCAACTTATCTTGGTGTACCTCATTATATTGAAGAGGATGATGAATATAATGGATATTATATTCCTGCAAATTCAGTTGTACTTTTAAATATATATGGAATTCATATGGATGAGAAAAGATATGAAAATCCGAAAGAGTTTAGGCCTGAAAGGTTTTTGGGACTTACGGAAAGAAGCGCAATTTTAGCAAATGGAAATTATGAGAATAGAGATCATTTTAGTTTTGGAGCTGGAAGAAGACTCTGTATCGGGATTCATTTAGTATGTGTGATAGAATAGTAAAATGTTAAAAAAAACTTTGACTAAATAATTCGGTTTTAATTATTAATTACTTTTTTTATATATTTTTTAAATATAGGCCGAGTTAGAACTTCTTTTGGGTATTTCGCGTCTTCTTTGGTGTTTCCGAATAGAAAATGCGTCACCATTAGGCAAAGATGGAAAACCAATACCAATTAATTTAGACAACGCACGTTTAGGTATCACTGTTTGGCCTGAAGAGTATTGTGTTAAATTAGTTAAAAGACACGATAATGTTGAAAAGGTTCTGTTTGATTTAAGTCAATAACTACTGTTAAGTCAATAACTGCTACTTCATATAAAAAAATGACAATAAAAGGTATTATACATCGAGATATCGTTGAAGTTATTTAGTGAAAATGATAAAAATTTAACAGGTGCACGTTAATATAAGTGAAGAAGGATTTGTGTCGATTGTTATCGTGAGATGCTTTCTCCCTATCATTTACTCAACATTTATCTAATATTTCATCGGAGTTTTGAGAGGAAATGAAGAAAACACAAAAAAGACAGTTATAATTATTGTCCGCATCTACAATGCTTTCATCGATTATTTCAATCTTCACATTTGACTATTATTTCACATTCAAGCGTATGTAAAAGTTGCTTTCTTCTTCTAATCAGAACACCTTACAGTCGTCTCTGTAATTTATCAAAGAATAGAGACGCGTGGGTCATGAAACAATTATTATGACAGTAATGTCTCCAAATCCCCAGGTTGATTTTATTTGGGTCTATATGATTGGTTCTCTTCTGAAGACTATAGCCAATAGCGACATTGTCACAAATAATTATGAAAAGAAATTTTGGGTTTCTACTTAACCTAAAACCACTTGTACTTGTATACTATAAAATTCTACTCTAAAGCAGATTCCCAATCCTAAAAAATTCTGAGAAATGCACCAAAATTTGTATTTTTCGGCGGCTTGTCTATACAAATTTCATTTAATCTGTTATGTGCGTTATTCCTGAAGTATAATATAAAGATGGTAGAGTTAGTACAATGACATATAATAAATTATAAAAAAAAATTAACTGTTAATCTACGAATAAATAGAGTGCGTTAATTTTAAATAGTATATTTTTATAAGTCAATATAAAGAAAGAAATCACTGATAAGCCAAGATATTATTATTACTAGTCACGTATGCTTGTTACGCACCATTACTTCATTCGTAGATTACATGTCGTTTTGCAATTAAAACTTATGTCTAAATACAAAACACGTAAAACACATTCATGTCGAGATTTTCAATTTTATCATTTGCATCGTTATTGAATATTATGGGTTGGCTGGTATTATACATTATTATGAATTAGTTGCTTTTCATGAATATTATGAATTAATATTCTTAAATATATTTCTTAAATATTGTATGTTGGAAATTAATTTATATATAGGTCGGATTTTTTGACACTCATAATTGATCTGTGTTAATTTTTTAATTTACAAAATGATGCGTAACATCGTTTAAAAATCTTAACATTAACACCAATCGAGGACATCTTCCTATCTCTCAATCTTCTCTTTGAATTTTAGAATTCACTTTTTCTTTTCATTTATTTTACCTTTTTTTTTTTTTTGGAGGGATTTTAATTAATTTTTTTCCTCAAGAAACGAAAACCACCATTAATCCAAATAGTTTTTTTTTAATACCATCACACTTTCCATATAGATATAAAATATAAAAAGTTTTATAGCTCTTTATACACAGGGTCATTATAACCACTCCTATATTGGATACTATGAACAATATTAAGCGGACTTTATACTCGCCAAGTAACCAAATGAAATTTATTGTTTTATAAAAAGAGGTTTAATTTTATTATTATTAACCTCGAGGTTATTTGACTGTGTCTTTGATTAATGGTAACGCTGGACTTACTCATATTTTTACTCCAATTTTGATCAGATTACTTTTGCAAAATAATCACTAATATATATTGTCTCGAAATTAGGGACCTCAGTTTAACAATATAAGCCCTATCAAAATCCACTTATACTCTTTTACTATCAAAGTTAACCCTAAATTATAACCTAACTATAAAATGCACCTCAAAAATTTTTGAAAATCTCATATTATAATTTTTAAATTTCCAGCTTCTCTGTTTCTAACTTCAGCCACAACATATATTTTTCACGAGTGAAAAAATGCTTTAAAACATATGAACAAGTTACCCAGGTATTCATGGATTACTACTCCAGGCGATTGAATCGAATCGATCAGTCAGAAGTCACTGGAGATTCCAGTAATATTCTACTGCTGGAAGTAATGTTGTTAGACGAAACCTAAGGGTTTCATCATTGACGAAAGTCGAAACCTAATTTCGTCTTTCGTCAAAAAAAATTTGAAATGACGAAATGACGAAACTGACGAAAGGTGACGAAACTGACAAAAGGTGATGAAACTGATGAAAGGTGACGAAACTCCGATCATTTCCGAT